TAGGTGTTCGTTTCTCTAATCCGACCACTGCTATATAATATGATAATAGAAGCCTGCACTACCAGCCTGCCAGTCCCGTTTGTCTTCCTGTGTACCATTTCTTGGAGGATGAAGTGCTTTATAATTATAGTATTCAGTGTTCCAACAGCTTGCTTGTCGAGATTTGTAACTTACCAAAAGCCAAATGATTGATAATTGTTGTCATGGCAACTAATCAGCTTAAAACTAAAATAATTTCGGAAGTAAGTTTAAAGGAGGCAGTGCTATGCTACTGTTGAAGAGGCAGAGCTGCATAGAAATTAAAACCATCAAGTACACAGCATTTGAGAGGCTGGGAGATTGTAATGCTTGGAGAAAGCAATGGAAACAGTATACACACAAGCAAACAGCTACTGATTTTATAATGTTAGTTCCTTTACCAGCTTAAAGCTTTCAGAAATATTTCCATGATCATCTTAAACTAGGGTGGATCAAAAGACTCCTGGGGCTAAATTGGTTACTATGACTACTTACACTCTATAACCAAATCTGTATGTAAATTTTCATTGATTTTTTTTTTGTTTACTTTTTTAATCAATATAAATTGTAGGGAAGATTGAATTGTGTTGATTCATTAAGTAAAAACTTTTTATCTAGCCAATGGACCACCTCGCAGAAAGCATTTAATTCCCACAATGCACAGTCAACATCGTTAGAGCTTGCTAACTGAGACTGCCCAGAATTTCGTGGTATAGGACTGAGAACTTGTCAGCTGAGTATGGACACTCGTGTGGAAAATTCAACAATAAAATATTGATACGGTTTAAACATGTATTTGTCTTAGACAAGACCGACTCATAGATTTATGGATCTCAAGTCCTGTACTTATAGAGATCGTGTGAACGAGGCATTGAACGATCAATAACCAATTTAATTCTAATCACAGAGGAGGGTGTAAAGCTTTGTTTACAAACTGCTAACAGTCCAGCCCATCCATGACAAGTTCTTTACAAATCTAGAATTTGTACAAGTGTACATTTTTCTGAGGAGGACTTTCATGAATAACTGCAGATGCTGAGATTCCAGTGCAGTGACGTCACTCTCACTGCTGTTACCATCCCATACCATCCACAGGAGAGCTCGCTCAACCATGGCCTCTAGGAAGGCTGTATACCCGAGCCTCAGAGACATGACTTGATCAGCCATGGTCATTCCAAGGACATCCTAAAGATAGACCAGTACTATAGAAGCCTTATTGTTCACATAGCACTGAACCTGATTCTTCATCTCTCTCTCTCTCACACAAAAAGGAAGTCCAATCTGAACTTAGGGTATGAATACCATGTATAGAATGATCAACTTGTACAACATTATATGTGTAATAGCATCCCTGTCCAACCAAATACACAGCAGGGCACTCTCACTGAATCTACGTGACAGTATTCCTGTGCAATTGTAACATGTGACTGTCTCTTTCTTCTGACATATATTCTGCCACAATTTATGTACCCTGTGTTAGATAAAATTTATATTATTGTGTGGCAAGTGAGAAGTTCCCATAGGTATTCCCCTTGACAGGCAGTTTGTGTTTAGATAAGAATAAAACCTATTTCAAGCCCGTCACAATAAGTTGTTTGTCAAGTGACACAGTGTCACAGGGTCACCGTCTAAACATCCCTCTCCCCATTCCTTCTGGGTATTGCGCACCTAAGTGTACCACACTACCATTACAAAGAACTAAATAGCCGGGTAGATCTACACTCAGCAGAATTGCATTGTGTGATGCTTTGGTGTCAAGTGGTAGTCCCCATCCACACGAACCACATGTGTAGTCGTGCTGTGCACCTGCTTAACATTCCTTTCTGTCGACACAAGTACTGCTGCACAGCTCCACTCAAGCAGCCACAAGTACCCAGCTCTAAACGACCCAATAGGTTGGTTATACTGCTTAAAATCTAACCTGGCCAACACTATGTTATAAAGATTCTACCACATAAATACAAGTTAATAAATGGTGTGCTATTGTCACTCTGTCATATCTCCAATGGACACTGAGAGGTCACTTTCTGACAAACTTCTCATGATGTATGCTTATTGAGGGCACTTTCTGTTTGACATTCATGAGGTATGAGGACAGCACAGCTTTTCGGAGGACTGTTAACCCTAAGGCCACAACAAATCAAGTCAGTTTTATAGCTATGTAGTAGTTTTTAAAGCCAACAGGTGACTGAGTTAAATAAGACAATTTGAGTTGTTCACAGTTGATAGCAGAAGAAAAAAAAGAAAAGAAAACATGAGGACTGCTATACAGATGCTCATCACATCACTCCTTGTCTGTTTTTACTTGCTTGCGGTATCACTACACTGAACACAAAGGGAGTTACCGGAGTTCAGGGTATTAAAACTAAATGTAGAAAGGACAGTGTCACCTGCATAGGCATATGGTAGTGATTGTGGAAGATGAGGTCTATATAAAGATGGAATTAAAACACAGTAACACCTTTATACCGGGCACTTCACTATTATTATGCACAACTAACACCTTCATCTTCGGACAGGATTGGGAAATAAACTATTGTTATAGCAAGGCATGAATTACACCTTCATTGGTGGGTTGGGGGATCAAACTGTTGTTACAGCTACACATGACAAATTATCATCTCACACAGTGAAATGAGGCATTACAACAAAGATTGTTGGACAGTTTGTTCCCTATATATCAACAGACAAATCACAAATGAGGCGAAAAACTTATCATCAAAGGAATAGATATAATTTGCTGACTTTGTTGAAGAATTCTAGAGATGACTTGCAGCTTATGGTTTAATCACGATATTTGTCACGCAGTAGATGACTAATGGCTACCAAGCAGCTTCAGGTAGCTGTGTGTTCTTACAACCATTAACAGTACATGACTAAGTTAAGTATTATGAAACGCTCGCTATAAACCTGACTGGACTGTAGCATACATGTTTGATGCCACTGCCCTCTGGCCGCACGCTTGGCACCAACTGGACCACACGGTTCAACGGGACAGGGTCAGAATCGACACAGGAAGCAGTATACCACTAGCATTAATGAATTATTCATGTTGGGATGACCATTAGGCCTAAAATGATGGCACAAATATCTGATGACTTTTATTGTAATCGTAAATCTGATGTAAGGGTCACTTTGGCCTATTGCTATACATATGTATAAACATGTATGTGATATCATCCAGCTTTGAACCAATAAGGAATTCAATTGATCTACAAATCCATTTAATGACCAGTTTATCGCTAGTTACTGGTACTGTGAGAGACTTACATAACACTGGTGAAACAATTAATTGAAAACCTTTCATTAATATTTCAATTAAATTTGACGAAGAATGATAAATCATTAAAAATAAACAGCACCAAAGTAATTAAATTTTAAGCCAAAAAAAAAACAAGAACACATGCACCATGGATTTATAATATTGAATATAAAATGCTTACCTTATGTATACTGTATATTTGCATATTTGTATGTACAACTTATATTTTTGGATCATGTGTATGTACAATGTATGTATATATTTAGATCAGGCGTATGTCAGGTGTATGTACAATGTATGAATATATTTAGATCAGGCATATGTCAGGTGTATGTACAATGAATGAATATATTTAGATCAGGCGTATGTCAGGTGTATGCTAGGTTATATAAGAGTATATACAATGTAGAAGTATTTGTTAAGCATGTGTACATCATTTGTATTTATTAATACATTGACTCATGTATGTGTCATTTTTATTGCATCATGTCATGTATATTTATGTTTGTTCATGCTTATGCCATGTGTATACAGAAATGTCATTTTTACAAGAGGTGTGTAAATTAATTAAACATGTTGGCTTTTCCTGCCTCCTGTGTCTAAACAGGTAAACTCATTTCTATGTCTTACTGTATAAATTTCCAGTGTTTGTTTACAATATACACAACTGACAGTGAATCCACAGGAGATGGTGTTTGATAGGAGCGCAGTAAGTCTACCACCAATGCTTATAGACAGTAATACAAAGTCATTACTGTAAAACACTTTATATAATGTACCGAGACACTTTGAACACAAGACATTACAGATACCAACAATTTGACGATGACACAAAAAATACACCAAAATGAACATTAGAGACAACAGATGTAGAGGAACAAAGACATGCAGCATCAAGTTTCTTCTGTAATAACATCAAATGAACAAGATGACTTTTATCATGTCATCATCCAACATACAGAATCTGTTTTATTTTCTGAAATCTGTCATGTACACAAAATTAGAACAAATCATTTTCCCTAGTTGTATTACAAGAAAATCCAGAATTAACTTGAAGAACATATCAACTGACTTTCCAGAAAAAAAACCACCACAATGTGGAAGGAAGAAAGCAAGTGATGCTTTCATATTTCCAAGAATCCACCTGATGTGATGACCTGTCAGAGAGAGGCAGTTTTTGCCTAGTACAAACCTTAGTTAAAAAACTGTAAAGGTAGCCTGCTTCTGTACTTATCACACATACTCAGTGTATGATGTTGAAAAACAGTCAAACCAACTTTCTCCAAACCTGTAGTACCATGCACACTTGATACATTACAAAGAGCTGAAAATGTCACCATTTCATTTAGCCATAACTTCACATTATGAAGGGAAAACTTAAGGCAAACTAAGGCAGTATTCAAGCCCATTTTCACTACAAAACATATAATCTTTTGTTTGAAATATTTTTAAGACAAATATGTATTTTTTGGGTTCTTGAAATATTTATATTGATATGATGTCTGAATTTCAGAAATTTAATTTTCCAATTATATGCCCACGAGTATCAAATTAATGAAAATTAAAAAAAATAAAATTTCATGGATACACAAAGTAACCAAATGGAATGGTGATGTTTACAGACTTGCGAGAGACAAACAACAGAAAAATCTAAGACGGTTATGACATTAAGAATCGCTATGTGGATAGCGATGTGGTGGTGTATATATATGTAGCCTACCTATGCTGGCTATAGGGTGCCCAAAGCTGCCTGCTGACACCGATTCCTCCTTAATGGACACCTCCCCGAATGATTTGCCTACAGAAAGAAAATTAAACATGATAGGATTTCTTTCAACAGAAATTTGAAACATTTGATTTGTTTTTATCAGGTTAAAATCGTTAGGTTATATACAGCTACTGGCTAGTAAATTAATATTGGCCTGTATTATGTTGGGTTAGTAATATTAGTTGGCTGAAATATAATGGAAATAGTAAAATTAATAAAGATAATAAGTATAAATATTTAAAATTGAATAAATAAATCAATATAGAGGCATATCAACAATGATACACAAAAAATCATCCCTTTTTGTACAACCTTTCACATCCAATGGAAAACAATGGTAAATTTTAAAACAAAAGTTAAACAGAACTAGATTATATTAGCTTCAAACTCCATAAATTTTCATGGACATTTAACTTCTGGCAATAAATATTTTCAAGTTGGAATGATTTACCTGTAAAACAAACCAATACAATAATTGACCTTGTCGGATTTGAAATTTAATTAAAGACTGTAACAGAGCACTTTGAGACCATACAAACTATAAATAAGTGAATTCCTCACAGAGTAACAGATTCAGAAGTAGATAGAGTTGGTTATTGCTTTAGAGACTAGCTCATTACAGCATAGAGATGTGGTAGCAAACAAATTATTGGACAATACATTGTATAATTGGTCCTCAAGCTATCAGTGCTGATGCAATTAGATTCCAAATATGACCAGTATTTATGGGGACTTGACATCACACAAAAGCTTACATTTATCATCAGAGATGCTTACATATATAACAATTTTGTATATCAGTTCCATACAATGGTCATGAATGGAACTATCACTTCCTCCCCACATTTTTATACCAAGAGATTAAATCCCTCTTTATAATAGAAATGATAGTGATCAATATTAAACATCAGGTATGTGTCTACAGTATTTCATGGTTTTCCTTTTTGTATAGAAAATAAATTACCATACAACACTCTATATATCAATTTAGACCAATTATAATGGTGACACTGCAGCCTGGACACGTCACCAGGATCTAGTCGCTACCCCACAGGCCCAGGACAATGGAGCTGCGGAGGCTGGCACGGTTAGCATGGCAACCCATGCCTTCATCACTTGCCTGAGTGGGGCCCTCCCCTATCCTACCTACACAGACAGCCTAGCCACGGCCTACCTGTATTTTATAACACAGCTTTCATATGCTTCAGCTGCTTGCTGAAACAGGTAACAACCAAAGCAGCTTTCTCGCCATGGAAACAGCAAGCTTAACTGACAGCCCCAAATAAATGGGAAAAAAAATGTATTCAAACAAACGTAGAGGCCTTTCATGCTCTCCCATGCATTGCAGTCAACACGGCACTCCAGCTTCCGTCCTTCCTGTTGTTGGTTTTTATAGTGCCCAGGTCCTCTCCTTACTTAATACAGCCTCAGCAATCACTCTAACTGCCTTTGTATGTGGGCAAAATTATACCATTTTATATGAAGAATAAACCATAACTAGAGTGGCATTCAATTTATGAATGTATGAATCACACAAAAGGGGGTTTCAAAGAATAAGGAGTCTAGGAGAGAAGTTCTCAAGGCCTTTGTGAGAATAAAACTTTGTTCTGCCAGTGTGCTGGGTATACAGTTTACCAACGACACTGGGAAATCATGTAGTAGGACACAAAAGACAAGTTCATTTCAAAAACACCTTTTATCCCATTATAAAATTGAAATTGTCCAGGGTGAAAAGAATTTTTGAAATGCATAAACATCCTTGTAAAAAGAACAGATTAAAATCTAAAATCATCTTTACACTGATAACAATGAAAGGCTAATAACACAAAGTACAAGTTATAAAATATTGTACAATAACTTTCCAAAATCCACACTGTGAAAAGCAAACAGTATTTAACAACTTCGATTTCTCTTCTTTTTTTTTTACACAATCAAAATGGTGAACTATTTCTGTCAGGTCCAGTCTAGAAACTGAAGTAACGGTCTTACATGGAGAAGTTGAAATCCCTCAAGACTTGAGAGCAAATACAACAATACAGATTATTATTTGAGTAAGGGTTCTGTTTGTTATCAGCTACTGAATGCCAAGAAAGTCAACAGTGGTGTGTAGAAACAATAGAGACCCAGAAGGCTGTGTTCCCAGCCTCAGTTACCGAAGCCCAATGCTAGACAGGACAAACCACTCACTCGGTAGGCCTAGGAGCTTCTTTGTAGAAATCTCGCTTTCATCTATAAAGATAAAGCTGCCAATGAAGTTCCTATTCATTTGTGATGGCCAAACTTGCCGCTGATTAGCCAAGTACCTAGAAGATTAACATGATCACATGTATGTCGATAACTGCCTTTTCTATTGACTCCTAGAATTTTATATGAACTGTCAGTCCTACAGAACAACAATGAAACCTCTTAACACTGGCTGAATGTTTCCACAATGGGAAAATACATAAATTTCTAGATTAAAATTACAAGGATTATGAAACATACAACTTCAAAAAGAAACAAGAAAAAAAGGGAAACCTTCAGATTTGTTTCTTTACAGGTAAAAGTAACTTTTAATGACTTTTTCAGTTGTATTTAACCTTCATTAATGCTTTTTGATCAGTGATAATTACTTTGAAAATCATAAACAAGCATATCAAGAAAATTAACTGATACCCACAATAATATGGCTAGATACAAATTAATTATATGTAGTTTTACAAACTAACTACCAAAGTCAGTTCCTTTTTGACACCTGTAACAAGCTACACATATACATAATCATATATGCAAATTTATTTGAGTATCAGTGTGTTTTTTACTTATAGTAAAATGACGCTAAGTCCTTGGTGCTGGACTGGTTGTGAAACCGACAACACTGTTATATCTTAAAACAGGTAACATACATTGTATTAAAGTACTCTCTCATATAAAGCTTCAAGATTTCACCATTCGCTACAAAGTAGATGGCTGACTTTATGGACACAACTAAATCATGGCCAAGCTTTTGTCTGGGGAACCATTGCTAGAATTCACTGACAGTCTAAACAGTAGATACCTTTCAGACTAAATGGCTGGTTTGGTTTCAAGGTTTAGGCCATCTGATATAACAGTTTTTACAGAGAATTATTGGTACACAGCCGCAGATGCCTGGGCATGCCACATCCATGATAAATTCCTACACTATGTCACGAGATATGGACAACTGCTTTGACAAAATTTCTGTGAAAGCCAGTACAGACCTACAGAAGGTTATATAGTTTAATCAGGCCAGACATGGGTCAATTTGAAACTGACCTTGTCGACCACCACCATCACAAATACTTCCATTTTTTCCTTTCCTGTTTTTGCAATACAAACGTATGGAGATCAATGTTGGTATCATGTTGCTGTGTGATGAAACTAGTCAATGTTGTCGTGCAATCTGAACCATACATTTCTGTTGATCATCCACAGTTTTGTTAGCACAAATGGGATAATACCTATTGAAAAGCATGAAAATTTGTACCAGTTCATATGCTAATCGCTACCATTTTGGAACCATGTTCTGACAACAAAAGGCCCAAGGAAACTCAATATTTGGTGAAATTACCAAATGGCTTATCTGTCAATTAGATGGAACCTGTCTAAATAAGTAACAATTTGTTTGTTGGAGCATCCCCACCAACTACAAGGAAATTCCATTTGTTGGCGAAAGGCTACATCTTTCAAATCTTCAACACTGTGTTATTCTGCAGACAGCATCAGCTGGACTGGAATCGGTGCATGAGTAAGCAGGAGCCAAACGACGTTAGCCCCAAGGGGTCATCCTTTATGGGGGAGAGCGACAGCCTCGTCGGTCGGCAGTGATGCATGGCCCCTCGTGACACTGGGGTTACCCACCTAATATGTCCGCCAGACTGACAAGCCCAGAGAGATACCGCCGCCAAAAAGGGAAGTGGCGAAATCATTCTATGTTTTCCTTATATAAACTAATTTATATCTTAACAGATTAGCTGTCATTTCATTATTACTAGTGTCCTTCAAAATCACTGTAAAATGTTACTACAAGTTTATACAGGAAAATTTAGCAATGGTTCCCCCCCCCTCCAAACCATCTATGAATTAAGTCAACCTGTTAAACTATAAACACAATAAGTACTTAATGAATAAAACATATAAAACACTATTTTTTCTGCTTATGTATAATATACAGCATTCACAAACAGTTGTTTTGTTAGGGCACCTAATTACAGTACACCAGACAGTAAATAGCAAAGACGTAATTCCTAGTTTTCCCTAAAGAATTTCCCCCCAAAATTTTTGGGCTTTCATATCATAAATGATGGGACTGTTTAGTCAAACTTTTAGCTTTACTAAAGATTGTTTTAACAAATTTGAATTTTTTTAGGTATCCAACTACTGACCCTTGTTATCACTGTTTTTCTACCTTCTTCCTGTGGGGACACCTCTTTCCTCACATGCAGGAGTTTTAAGGGAATGAAAAGACTGCCTTGCCTGCAATATTTACGCAAACAAAGGTGTACACTGTTTAAGATATGACAGGCTCTGTCCTACTTTGATCTGGCCTAGGTTTCTGACTATAACAGATTACAATGTTTTCACTTTCAATCTCTTTTTTTCTCTTCTTTCAGGAATGTGCAAACATAAAAAAAGTTTATTCTCTAATAAGTTTATACAAGTGTATAGCAGTATGCACAAATAAAAGAACACTGAAGTAAGTTTATTAAAAACAAAATATTTGAATATTATGACAATGATATGCAAAATTTCACAAAACTTTAAATTTCTGCATCCATATGAATATGGCGTTACTTTGTATACAAGAGTTGGAATCAAAATTTAACAAATTTCCTTCTTCTGAATGAAATACACTTTGCTACAATTTGTTGACTCCTCATGAATATATAAACAACTGAGGCTGCCAGTGAAAAGTGAAGTCAGTATCAGGTAATTTACACAAATTGTCAGACGAAATTAAAACTCAAACTTTTATGTGATAAGTTTGTCACTTATAGATAATTGTGAGAGAGACAACATTTACAACATCC